AACATTTTTATGACCATTGTAGCAGCTGCTGACATACTACTCATACAACGCTACAACATCTATTATAAATTGAACAATTCTTGTTCCAATTATACAACATGTTAAAATATGCAATCAGTGTTGCACTTTCAGAGATTTTGCGAAAAAAATTATTCGCTTTTAAAGAACTACTTTATTTATAAAGTACGAAATAATGTTGCTGTATTCTTACAGGTACATACATCTAGGGTTCTATAGTTGAAACGAATAGCCGACTTTTCGACTTTTTGCATTTAGTTAAAAGTTGACTTTTCGACTTTTTGCATTTAGTTAAAAGTCGTCTTTTCGACTTTTTGCATTTAGTTAAAAGTCGACATTTCGACTTTTTGCATTTCATGAAAAGTCGATTTTTCGACTTTTTTCATTCGTTTACTTTTCGTCGACTTTTAGACTTTTCGACTTTTAGTATTTTACAAACAGTCGACTTTTGGACTATTTTCGACTTTTTTCGACAATTTTCGACTTCATTCGACTTTTTTTGGGTTTTTCCGACTATTTTAGAGTGTTTGACTTTTTTTTCACTTTTTTTAAACATTTCGACTAATTTTGACTTTTTTCTACTATTTTCGAATTTTCGACTTTGTCCGACTTTTTCGACTTATTTCGACTTTTTCCCACTTTGTGGACTTTTTACGACTTTTCGACCTTTTACGACTTTTAGACATATCAACTTTTTAGATTTTTATTTACAAAGTCGACTTTTCGACTTTTTTCATAGACTATAGTCGAGTTATCGACTTTTTTGGTAAAAAATAGTCGACTTCGACTTTTTGACTTTTTTCGACAAAAAGTCGATTGTTCGATTATTCGAAAGTTGATTTATAGATCCCTACATACATCTACATATGTACATAGGCATGGAAAACCCAGTGCTTTAGTACTTTTTGGTACGGTATTTTCTGAACTTTTTGTGTAATCCTCCTATAGTCTAGCCTACAGTTTAGTTTAGTCTTGTCTAGGATAGTCTAGTTTATAGTCTAGTCTATACTCTAGCCTATAATCAGGTCTATAGTCTAGTCTATAGTCTAGTCTATAGTCTAGTCTATAGTCTAGTCTATAGTCTAGTCTATAGTCTAGTCTATAGTCAGTCTATAGTCTAGTCTATAGTCTAGTCTATAGTCTAGTCTATAGTCTAGTCTATAGTCTAGTCTATAGTCTAGTTTATAGTCTAGTCTATAGTCTAGTCTATAGTCTAGTCTATAGTCTAGTCTATAGTCTAGTCTATAGTCTAGTCTATAGTCTAGTCTATAGTCTAGTCTATAGTCTAGTCTATAGTCTAGTCTAGTTAGTCTAGTCTAGTCTGTAGTCTAGTCTATAGTCTAGTCTATAGTCTAGTCTATAGTCTAGTCTATAGTCTAGTCTATAGTCTAGTCTATAGTCTAGTCTATAGTCTAGTCTATAGTCTAGTCTATAGTCTAGTCTATAGTCTAGTCTATAGTCTAGTCTATAGTCTAGTCTATAGTCTAGTCTATAGTCTAGTCTATAGTCTAGTCTATAGTCTAGTCTATAGTCTAGTCTATAGTCTAGTCTATAGTCTAGTCTATAGTCTAGTCTATAGTCTAGTCTATAGTCTAGTCTATAGTCTAGTCTATAGTCTAGTCTATAGTCTAGTCTATAGTCTAGTCTATAGTCTAGTCTTTAGTCTAGTCTATAGTCTAGTCTATAGTCTAGTCTTTAGTCTAGTCTATGGTCTTGCCTATAGTCTAGTCCATATAGTAGTCTATTGTCTGCTCTATTGCCTAAAAAATACTCATTTTGGTATAAGTGGTATTATTCCAAAAGTTCAATTTCCCATGCCTGGTATACTTACATACTTATTTTTCATGCTTCCTTCTTCTCATTTCATCAAATAATTGTAATATCAATAACAACAACCTATTAATGCTTTACTAACATACTTACATACATATATGTATGTATACTCCCTCTAATACTCCCAAATTTTAAGAAAACTGAAGAAATAGAACGATAGCAAAAGTATGCAGGCACCACTTGTTGGAGTTGTTGTTATTGTTATTAGGCTTTTGCTTTTTAAAAAGAGTACAAAAATGCTAATAATAACAACAACAACAATGACAATTTCATTTACCATTTGTTCCCTTAGTTAATTGCATTCTTCCTTAGTTTTCTACAAATTTCTAAAGTGTTCGGTTGTTTAATGTTAAGCGTCGTGTTTAAATTAATCTAGAATGTTAATTAATTGTTAATATTTTTGTTAAAAAATGTTAATAGTATTATTGCATAATATCTATAAAAAAAAGTGGTAAATTATTAGTTTAAAAAAGTGCTTAAATATTTGACAAACATTTTATGCAATTTTTTTTAGGCCGAGCGCCGCGGCGTCGTTCGTTTTCTTTTGTTGGGCCATTCGTTTAGTTAAGTGATGAGAAAGTGTTTATCCAAAAGTTCGGTGTTTTTTGTACGAAAGGGAGAATAAGCCGGAGAATATCATTATGTCAACAACAACAACAAATGGTGAGTGATTTAAAAGACTTTATACATGTTGTTTTTGTTTCTTTATAAAATTTGTTATTGTTACTTTATTAAACCTTGTTGTTACCATAATACAACATGTGAAAATATGCAATCAGTGTTGCACTTTCAGACATTTTGGGACTAAAATGTGTCCCTTTTAAAGGTTTGTTTTTTTATAAAGTACGAAATTATTTTGTAGTAATTTTATATATGTAGGCATAAAATAGACTAGTATATACTAGACTATAGACTAGACTATAGACTAGACTATAGACTAGACTATAGACTAGACTATAGACTAGACTAGATAGACTATAGACTAGACTATAGACTAGACTATAGACTAGACTATAGACTAGACTATAGACTAGACTATAGACTAGACTATAGACTAGACTATAGACTAGACTATAGACTAGACTATAGACTAGACTATAGACTAGACTATAGACCTAGACTATAGACTAGACTAGACTACTATAGACTAGACTATAGACTAGACTATAGACTAGACTATAGACTAGACTATAGACTAGACTATAGACTAGACTATAGACTAGACTATAGACTAGACTATAGACTAGACTATAGACTAGACTATAGACTAGACTATAGACTAGACTATAGACTAGACTATAGACTAGACTATTGACTAGACTATAGACTAGACTATAGACTAGACTATTGACTAAACTATAGACTAGACTATTGACTAGACTATAGACTAGACTATAGACTAGACTGTAGACTAGACTGTAGACTAGACTGTAGACTAGACTATAGACTAGACTATAGACTAGACTCTAGACTAGACATTAGACTAGACTATAGACTAGACTATTGACTAGACTACAGACTAGACTATAGACTAGACTGTAGACTAGACTGTAGACTAGACTGTAGACTAGACTATAGACTAGACTATAGACTAGACTCTAGACTAGACTATAGACTAGACTATAGACTAGACTATAGACTAGACTATAGACTAGACTATAGACTAGACTATAGACTAGACTATAGACTAGACTATAGACTAGACTATAGACTAGACTGTAGACTAGACTATAGACTAGACTATAGACTAGACTAGACTATAGACTAGACTATAGACTAGACTATAGACTACACTATAGACTAGACTATAGACTAGACTATAGACTAGACTATAGACTAGACTATAGGCTAGACTATAGACTAGACTATAGACTAGACTATAGACTAGACTATAGACTAGACTATAGACTAGAATATAGACTAGACTATAGACTAGACTATAGACTAGACTATAGACTAGATATAGACTAGACTATAGACTAGACTATAGACTAGACTATAGACTAGACTATAGACTAGACTATAGACTAGACTATAGACTACATTATAGACTAGACTATAGACTAGACTATAGACTAGACTATAGACTAGACTATAGACTAGACTATAGACTAGACTATAGACTAGACTATAGACTAGACTATAGACTAGACTATAGACTAGACTATAGACTAGACTATAGACTAGACTATAGACTAGACTATAGACTAGACTATAGACTAGACTATAGACTAGACTATAGACTAGACTATAGACTAGACTATAGACTAGACTATAGACTAGACTATAGACTAGACTATAGACTAGACTATAGACTAGACTATAAACTAGACTATATACTAGACTGTAGACTAGACTATAGATCAGACTATAGACTAGACTGAAGACTAGACTGTAGACTAAACTATAGACTAGACTATAGACTAGATTTTCTCTAAATTTTCTTTGTTATTTAGCCGTAAAGGCTGTTGTCCAGTTAAAATAAAAAATTAAATATCCCTTTCTTGATAGTTTTGTTGTCTAATATTTCTTAAAACATAAATATCTGCTTTCAACCATTAACATAACATCTCCTTGCTACACCAACTATAAATTTAAAAACTTCATTGCAAATATAAAATTGAATTTATTTCTATAAATATAAATAAAAATTCATTGAACTTGTAATTCGTAAAGGTTAAATTTTTTCTGTATACACAACAGTATGAAATTTATTAACGATATATCCATAAATAAATGAATATGTAAAGGGTGTTGTTGCTGTTTAAGTTTATTTGTTGAAAATAAATATTTAATTTTTAAAACACTGCACGATGAATATCTTAATATTAAAGCCACTATCAGACTTCATGCATCATTATGCACCGAAAAGGTAAAATTCCCAGAAGTTTTCGAGTGGTCAATGTAGCCATATTACAAAGTTTTAAAGTTATAAAATTATAAAGTTATAAAATTATAAAGTTATAAAGTTATATAGTTATAAAGTTATAAAGTTATAAGGTTATAAAGTTATAAACTACTCAAAGTTTCGAAGCCTTAGTAAAGTCTCTGTTGTTTCATTCACCCCGATCTGTTGGGGTATTACATCAGCAAAAATATGTGGCAGGTATAGTCTGCTCACATACATACAAACATACAGAATTTTTTTGTTGTTGTTTTAGTTGAAGATGCAACCTACAGAAATTATATTTGTATTTAACATGTTCACCTTTCTTATTTACGATAATCACTTGGTATTTTAAATACTCACCTGTATATAGGTAAACACAACAAAACACGTGGCTTGTTGTTGTTGTTGCAAGTTTGTGTAAGTTTTTAGCCACAATGTGATAAATTTGCATTAAAACTTTTTTCCAACCAAGCAACACCAACAATTACAACTATGTACCATAAAAAACAAGTTAAGAAGTATAGTTTGTCAAATACGACTATAGGACACCCTACACCAAAAAATTGTTTAGGCAATAAACTGTTTTATAAACTACACTGTAAACTATAGACTAGATCATAGACTAGGCTGGACTACAGACTAGACTATACACTAGGCTATAAGCGAGACTATAGAATAAATTATAGACCAGGCTGGCAAATTAAGACAAAAACATTTCTGATTCGACTCTCTCCACTTCCATGGTGTAGGGTACAAAAAACCTCTAACAAAACTCATCTTCAACAATAGCAGCAGCTTAAAAGAAAACACACATCAACAATAATAATATTTGTACTACAACAAAGTACATATTTTTATAAAATCAACAATGCAGCGACAGCAGCTGTAGCAACAGAAACTACAACAATGTTCATATGCCACATTTTTGTTGCAGCACAACTGCAACCAAACAACCAATTTCTGAACAAAAAACAACACAGTCATCATCCTTAAGTATTGTTGTAGACAATATTTTATGGTCTCTAACTTTGAATGTTTTTGGAATCTCAAAAAGCAGCCACAACAGCAACAACAATAATATTAGCAGCAGAAAAAGACGACCTTTAAGCTCACCTTTAGACGCTCTCCAAGCACAAACATATACGAAATGTAAATTCAAATTTATACACTTACTGTATATAGTTTTAAGTGCATATTTCGGTGTACAGAGTGAAACGGTAGTTTTATTACGGAAAATCTTTATAAATTCCTCGACGGTCATATTGGCTGTGTCATCTGAGAGTTTCCTAACTTAAGACTTGGCTATATATGTTCAAAAAATTCTACCACTGGAGATTATGAAATCATGTAAAAACTTACCCTGAACTGATTTGGATGCAGTCTAATAATGCAATTTGTAGTACAACATATTCATCACACTGTTAAGAAATAATTTTAAAAGTTCCACACTAATATGCCCACATGTATGTATTTTCAGAGACGTTTCCATAGACTAGACTATACACTAGACTATAGACTAGACTATAGACTATAGACTATAGACTATAGACTAGACTAGACTAGACTAGACTATAGACTAAAGACTAGACTACACTAGACTAGACTAGACTAAAGACTAGACTAGACTACTAGACTATAGAGTAGACTATACTAGACTAGACTAGACTATAGACAAGACTAGACTAGAATAGACTAGACTAGACTAGACTAGACTAGTCTATAGACTAGACTAGACTATAGACTAGACTAGACTATAGAATAGACTATAGACTAGACTATAGACTAGACTATAGACTAGACTATAGACTAGACTATAAACTAGACTATAGACTAGACTATAGACTAGACTATAGACTAGACTATAGACTAGACTATAGACTAGACTATAGACTAGACTATAGACTAGACTATAGACTAGACTACAGACTAGACTATAGACTAGACTATAGACTAGACTATAGACTAGACTATAGACTAGACTATAGACTAGACTATAGACTAGACTATACTAGACTAGACTAGACTATAGACTAGACTATAGACTAGACTATAGACTAGACTATAGACTAGACTATAGACTAGACTATAGACTAGATACTAGACTATAGACTAGACTATAGACTAGACTATAGACTAGACTATAGACTAGACTATAGACTAGACTATAGACTAGACTATAGGACTAGACTATAGACTAGACTATAGACTAGACTATAGACTAGACTATAGACTAGACTATAGACTAGACTATAGACTAGACTATAGACTAGACTATAGACTAGACTATAGACTAGACTATAGACTAGACTATAGACTAGACTATAGACTAGGACTATAGACTAGACTATAGACTAGACTATAGACTAGACTATAGACTAGACTATAGACTAGACTATAGACTAGACTATAGACTAGACTATAGACTAGACTATAGACTAGACTATAGACTAGACTATAGACTAGACTATAGACTAGACTATAGACTAGACTATAGACTAGACTATAGACTAGACTATAGACTAGACTATAGACTAGACTATAGACTAGACTATAGACTAGACTATAGACTAGGACTATAGACTAGACTATAGACTAGACTATAGACTAGACTATAGACTAGACTATAGACTAGACTATAGACTAGACTAGACTAGACTATAGACTAGACTATAGACTAGACTATAGACTAGACTATAGACTAGACTAGACTAGACTTAGACTACTAGACTAGACTATAGACTAGACTATAGACTAGACTA